AAAAAAAAATAAAAAAGCAAATGCTACAGTTTGATTATTCCCAGCATTTTCAATCGGATAATGCAATGCAGTATGCCCTTCAAATTTAAGTATAAAAAATGCACGAAGACACACGATATGTATAGATAATCTTCAAAAAGTTAGCATCGGAGTACCCCCCCCCCTTGTCATTTGAACGGTACCCATAAAAAAACACTCGGAAATGTCGTGTAATGTTTTAACTCAAATCCCTAAAAATCCCTTGCGCATCCGAAAAATTTCGCAAGTTTCACTCTCCCACTAAAGGAAGAATTAATCAACTATGTCTCTCAAAACGGAGGGAAATCGGTTTTCCATTTGAGACCCTTTATCGTCATTGGCATCATAAAGATTTGGCGAGTAATCATCTACGGGAACAGGTGCGGTTTTTCAAAAAAGCTCCTCCGCCCACCTCATCAATCATTCAGGTAGGGGAGAAACTTTTAGGCGAGATCTATAAGACAGCGTGTGATGCAGGCGAAGCTGCTCCACCGCCGTGGCTTCGCCACAGGTGCCCACTGAGTAACGAGAAGTGGGTGGCAGTTCTGGCATTTTTTGAGGCCAATGGACAATAGTTCCAAGTGCCCGCCATTAAAAAAAAACCCTTTGTACTATTGAAATTAGAAATTAGTTTGTCATGATGTGTCACTACGGCGGATGCTATATGAAGCTTCCTAATTCAATCTGGATCTTGGACATCGAACTAGAACCGCCTATTATGTACCCGAAGCGTCTTGATTCGAATTTTGCCGGCAGCTAGCAAACGTCTCTTTCACACGTTTTTCCCACCGCTTTTATAATGCTATGATTTTTGCTCAAAATTAGTATAATGTTTTAATTTTAAATACAATATTTTTTTATTTCTTAAGTTTGACTACTTTTTGTTTCTAAGCTATTTTGACACATTTTTGCTTAATTTTGAGAATCCCTTTTTTTTACGCAGTATCATTTGCAGTTTGCAATAATTTTAAGTTGAATTCATTGTTGAATGCAGCATTAATAAGCATATTAGAAGTTCCTACCAGAATTCTTGAGTTTGCGACTACCAATGATCAATTCCCTACCCTCTGTAATTCTGAACCTAATCCAGAAGATAAGGGAACTCCTGGATCAAGTATTGGGATAAATTTGCCTTCGTTGAAGACTTTTTTGATAGAAGTAGCTCGCATTTGCGTTACATTGAGAGGAAAACCACTAAAATCACCCATGGTTAACTCTATGGGGCTCTAAGCCTTGACCCGTCTTCCACAGCGGATATTTTACTTCAGCACTGTGGTCGGTGCGAGGCGGGTACGGAATTCGCATCGACCAGCCATCGCTGGGATTAGAACGCGGTTCACCTCATTAAAAGTCAAGCACTCTATCTTCTATCAATAATTTGTTGATTAGAAAAATCTTTTTTTAAAGAAATTGTTAGTCTTCATTAGACAACGGATAATATGCAATTGCATACGTGCATATGCAAGTGCATATTTTAGCACATTTTGCCATTTGTGCATATAAATGCATAAAAAGGTATATTTGCTCTTATAAATGCATATTTACAGCATTTTATGACTTTTCCCTCCCAAAACCAGATCACTATTCTTTTTATGTTAGCATAAGGAACGCTTTAAATTTTGTTTTGTCGTTCTTTATCACCTGAAAGGGTCAGCTGGATTGATGTTGCTGGGGGTGATTGTAATCACGTGAAAAAGATGTAGAAATGAGGTGTGTGTCGGGAAGGGGGGTAAAAAGGGCCCACCCAAGCAGACATTCGTCATTCAATAAGGCTTCTGTGGTCGTTCCATAGTGAGCATCATATGTCTAATCGGGTGAATTCTCACCGAATTATCAGAAAAATTCTCACACAATTATCTTCATCGAAGCCGATGCTTTACATCCGGCGTTCAGTACTATTTTATATTGTTTTAAAACCAAGGTTTTAGCCCTCTGGTGGGAAAGACTTTAAAAAACAAAACTTACAACAGTTACTTTTCTCAACAACTGAAATTTTGAATAGTGTAATTAAGAAAAATATGCGAACTGTTTGCAATTTCAAATTAATATTGAAATGCACAGGCTTAGAATTTTCTACAGTGAAAAGTTTTCGGAACTTCAATGTACAAAAAAGTATACAAAAGCTAGACGTTAAGAACGTATCCAATGAGCGAGCAAAGCGAGCATCGGATTGCGAAGCAATCCGAAATGAACTGCGAAAGCAGTTCCGGCGGTTGGCGAAGCCTCCTAGTAATTAAATATTGAAGTAAATATATGCTTTTCTAAATGAATAGAGCTATAAGATAGAAAATATCACTGTTGTTATCTTCAAGATATTTGAAAACTGAATCATTTATAGCAAAATTTAAAACAATGGCTAACTTTTAACCGAACAGAAAATTCCATTTCGATTTTCACTGATACCGCTGGAACGGTTGGTCGCAGAATGTTCTAATGTCGACAGTGACCTTCCTCATGCTTTGAACTATCTGTATGCCAAGTTTCATAGCTTTCTGTCAGATGAAGTCTATAAAGGACAGACAGACACACATTTATTTATGTATGATTGTGATTAATTTTGTCATAGTTTATTAATTTAAGTACAGAAGTAACAAAATAAAAAGTGAAGCACCGTCGATACAGCCAGTTGAGGACAGAGATTTGAACTTCAAGAATTTTATATATGTATAAGAGATAGAACTTAGAAAATTAGGTATGGAGGAAATAGAATCATTAGGTGGATAGAATCAAAGTATCAAGGAAAAATGTAGAACTGTGGAAAAATGTCTGGTAGGAAAGACCCCTAGGAAAGATGGTACCGGTAAGAAGGGCAGATGCGGAAGGAATTTTCATGTTAAAGCATTTCCTGCAGCAGGAAGACTTCTCTAACGATTTTAATAGCTATGATCCAAATTTGATAGTTAAGGTAACTTTTTTTAAGAGGGGCTTATTTAAAATGTTTTTATTTTTTTAATTGTTTAGGATCCGCTATTTTTTATTTTTATATGCATATCTTTTATGTACACACACACNTATATAATTTCTTTTTTTGTAAAAAGGGCTCAAGATTTTCTGCCGCATGAAAATTTCTGTGGCTAATTTAATATATATAATTCAGATTCGTTAATTGAGGTGAGATTGAGTGGAACTTATTTCTTTTTTAGGAGGTGTTTTTTATAAAAGCGTTTATTTTTGTGAGAGATTTTGTAAATTTTTTTTTCATATAGAAGGAGCAAAAACGATTCCTTGCGTCATGAAACTTTTTCTTGCTTTCTTAACAGATACGATTCAGATTTTTGAATTCTGGTAAAAGGGAGAGGATATTGAGTACGACGTATTTCTTAAGGAGGGGTTTAATGTAAAATGTTTTTGTTTATTTATGAAAGATACGTTATTATTAATAAATTTTTTGAAAGGGGCTGAAACTATTTCGTGCATTATAAAAAATTTTCTCACTATTTTAACAGATATGATTCTGATTTTCTAATTGAGGTAAAGGCAATGGGTCAGACTTTCACGATCTTGAGCCCTTCTCCGACAAAACTTCGAGGGAGCAAAGATTCGCGGGAACATAACTTCGACGGGACAAAACTGCAAATTAAAAAATTCTGAAATTAATGGTTAGCATTAAACTATAATTAATTTATGCATTAATTTCAATGGAAAAAAAATTATCTGTTATGTAATTTAAAAAAAATCAAATTCATAATTATATTAGAATAATCCCGATAAGTAACTAATATTAAAAGTTATTTATCATTTATTATTGAATTTGAACAATAACTATGATATGTCTGTCTTTAATGCGGTTAAAATATAAAATGAAGCAAAATTATTTATTGGATATTTAATCCTGTACTTTTTCGTCCTTTTCCCTACCATTCTTGTATCTTTTTATTCGCCTTTATGCTAACAAATTTGTCTTCTATATAAATATTACTTCAATTTTTATATGTAATCAAATGCCAAATTATAAGCTGCTTAGTTTTATTCTACATATTACAAATAGTTTTTGAATAAACTAGTTTTGATAGCTATTATTAATTTTTTTTTATTTCATATTAAATAATAAATTACTCAGTCAAATACAAATACCTATACTCATTAAATAAAATATATTAAAATCAAATTCAATAGTAAGTAATTAATTTAAATTAAATGAACTTTCAGTTTGAAAGGATTCTTAATTTCTTATTCAAAGTTAATTTTTTTGATTTCCATGACTTATTAATTTAATTATTTTACTATTTTTCTCGCAAAAAAACAGAATGAATGTGATTTTACTAGTAAGCAGGCATTGTTGTTTTAGAATGCAGCAATCGAAAAGGTAGATAAGAAACTATTCGTTGAGAGTGAGTAAGGGCGTGAGTAAGGGACTATTTGAGAGAGTAAGGGCGTGGTTATTCAAGGAAGTGAACAATTCGTAGTTCGACATTGATGAATGGGCTACATATGCACTTAAGAATGAACTGCTCTGAAATGTATACAGGGGTTAATCGTATGAGTGCAAGGATCTCCTCCAGAAAAGATATATAGTTTAGTGTATTCAGAGGCACGGGAGTTGATGTTTAAAACTGCAAGGATGGGAAGTTATGCTACTGGAAATGATGATGGTAAGTACTTATACCATTCTACATATAGTTGAATTCTTATGAAATACTAATAAATAATTTTTAATGTAAAAATTTATTTTCGGTAATAAAATAATAATAATTTACTGAACTACTTCGGTAATTTACTGAATTGTAATGCGAATTAGATAAATATTTCCTTATTAACTTTGGAAGAAAAAAAATTTTTTTTTTCCTTCTTTTTTTCTTCTTCCTATAAAACGGGAATGTTTTTTCTCACAATGAGGTGACCAAGTTCGAGTCCCAGCTGCTGCTGTTTGACACCAATCCTGCTCCTTGATCGCACCAACCACAGTGCTGATGTAAAATAATCTCAGTAGTAGACGGATCAAAATCCCTTTCTCATCGTGCTATCTAAGCGAGATTTTCGCGGTTTTTCTCTCCATGTAACGTACATGAGGGTTAGTTACAAAGTTAGAAGGCTATGAGGTTCAGCAGTGGTAGTCTCAGGCTCTGAATTAAATTGGCTGTCCAACATCGATTATAAAATAAATTAATTATAAATTAAATTGGTTTATGTTTCTGATCATGTACGTGCCTTTATATATATATACACACTATTTTTAANTATATCATATGTATACACACTTGGTTTATGAATAGGTTATAAATCTGAAATTATTAATTTCTATGCGTTCCCTTCATCCCTATTTTCATATGCTAGCTATTGAGACCGGGTTAGAAAAAAAAGTAAGAAACGGAAGCTAAAATTTTTTATTAAAATGCAGGCATAATGCAGATTATATAATTATTTTACAAAATTTTTTTTAGTAAAATAAGTAATTATTTTATTGCCATTGGGAATACCAATTAATTTTTGAATATTTTACAAATACATTGCATATCAGCATTTGTTGATTTACAAACACGTCATATATCAGCAATTGCGACTAGGTTTCAAAAAATTGTACAATTAGATCAATTGCTTTGTGAGTAAATATATTATAATAATATTTCAATTTTTTAATAAGCAGTGAAATGCAATTTACTTAATTGCCTATAATTATTGAATATGAACTTATAGTCAAAAGTGATACTTTTAAATGCTACTTAAATAAGATATATAAGTCCAATTTTATTAGAATTATGATATTAATAGTTTATAATTCTAAATTTGTGGATTTAATAACATTTCCGTCATTAACATTTGAATATATCATTGATTGCGACGAGTTTAGGAAAATAAAAACTGTTTTTTTTTTTTTTTTTTTTTAAAAANAAAAAAAGATTTTTTTTAAAAGAAAATCTAGTTTTAATTCTTTTTTTTTTAGGAAAATTATTACTGCACAAATTGCTTAAGCTTATCATTTATTTTAAATATTAGCTATTAAGTTTTTTTTTTTTTGTTGAAAAACATCCTTTTTTTTAAAATATTAGAATACATTACTTATTAAGAGCTACGATTATTGCATATTTTAGCACATTTTAAAGCCTTCCAAATGACTGTTTTACATTTGCTGGATGCAGAACTAAATACCTAAAACAATCTTTCCAATTCTGAAACATCAGCCGTGTGTAGTTTTTTAATAAAATCATTTTTATCTTTTGTTAAACTTCCGGTTCAGTTGTTTTATATTTCCAGTACCTGGGAAAGAGAGTTCCTCATTTAAATTTAATATTTATTTCAAATGAAATAGCTTATGCTGATCCGTAAGTATTCAATTGTTTTCCTTTTCTCAAAATTTTTGAATCTTTTTACACTTGATTTATATTGGACGAGTAAAGAAGCAACACGTGATGCTATTTTTATATTTTTCATGTTATTCACGTTGCTCGTGTTATGCATTTATGTCTTACCTGTTCCTGTTACCAATCAAAATAAAGATACATTTAATTTCTTTTATGACATAAAATATTTTTTAATCAAATGCCTCATGAATACTAAGAACTTTTATTAATTACCGGAATGAATTATAATTTGGGACATAAATTAATAATTAAACTAATTAGTTTAAAAACAAATAGTACGTACATTTTGTTAGTGATGAATACCAGGTATTTATTAGAAATAAATTTCTTAAAGTTCTAGTACATTAGTACCTAATGTAATAAGAAAATGTGGTATAACTACCACTAATAATATTACATATCTATTCAGTAGTATATAAGACTTGTTAACTCGATTCTATATTCAGGTACTGTTTGATAGACAAAGGTAAACATAGTTGATTCAAACATACCCCACTTAACTTTAACATTACATTAATTTCATCATTTTGAAATCGATGTTGTTCTATGTGCTTAAATCGAGTTAGTTACAAAAGCCCTTTATAGTTCTTCTATATTACCAATTCCCAAAAAGATATAGGTTATCTTTTTATATAATTTCATCAAATGAGTAATTTTCGAATAGTTAAACTAATATCATAAAAAATTTCAGGACTTAGAATAACTTTCCTAGACAAATTTGACTTATTTCAGGGTTCAAGATAAGGAAGTGATCAGGTTACAAAGATTTTACTTGATTTTAATACATGAGATAAATGCGTTTTTTGTTAACTTACTTGAGAACTTGACAAATAGCCTTCGTAAGACCACCCTTGACAACTGAACAGGTATACTACATTTCACCTCAAATTGGCACTGCAGGGAAGGGTAGGAAATGTAATACTCCGCCTTTGAGAAGTATAGTTCTTCGCTATTTTGGAGTTAATTGCAGTTTAAATGCGCGTACAGATATAAATAAATGTTGTATAGTAAGAAAAGTTCATATTGAAACATGCATTAGAAGTTTTTCATGTTTAAATGTATTTAACTTATAAATACCTTCTCAGTAAAGCGAATGTGCAAGGAAGAAGGAGGTGTTTTAGTTTGGAGCTGGATTAGTTTTCAAGGCCAAGGAATTGGCGCGTTGGCTATGTTTTTACACTGGTCAGCCAGCTCTTTCCGTTCTCCTTGCCTTTGCTTCTTGTGCAGTTCTTAGTTCGCTTTCTTTTAGTATATGATTATTTAATTTTCTAAATGTACAATATTTAATGAAAATTTTTTTCCCTTCAGAATGAATGAAAAAAAAAATACCCAAATAGACAGATCAATATTATTAAACTGATGACAGTTGAGCATATTTGCTGTGTAGCTAATTCAACATGTGATTTTATTATTATTTTTTTACGACAAAAGTAAAAATTGTTTTCGCTTTATTCAATCTCTGTAAAGATTCAAATTTTGTGTCTTTTGCGCCATGTGTAGCTCTGAAGTACAATTCGCTTTTTATAGGAACTTAATAATGTGATGGCGGAAATTTAAGACTTTTAGTTTGTTTAATTAAAGGGTTTAATTAAATATTATCTGAAATACAAATTCCATAATATAAGTGTGCAAATCCGTTAGTTATAAACTAATAAAATGTATAGGAATTGAAATAATTTCAAAGAAGACGCAAAATTTTAAACATCAATTTTTTTTAAACACCATAAGGTTAATTTAAACCAATCAATATTTTAATTATTATTTTGAAATGCTAAGCCAAAAAAAATTTGAAATTATTTCTCTTATGTAGAAAATATTAAGATATTTCAGTATCTGACAAAATATTTCGAGACTAACTAATTCTACTATACTTAAATAACTAATTATACGGATTTTTTTTTTCACCCACAAAGATCCTGAAAAGTAAAGGAAGGTTCTGATATTTTAAAATATGTATTTTTTTTTTGGAGAAATGCGCCTAACCACCCAAGTAGAATTTCTCCTGATGAGAAAGTGTGGATTGAATCCAATTCCAGGTGACCCCACAAAGAGAACTATCAACTGTTAAAATATTAAATGAATAACATAACCACCAGGATAGGTGGTTATCATGTTATTCAAAGAGTTCCTGTTGAGTCTAAGAGGGTGGGATATGGCAACTGAAAACATGGGAGGAGGGGGCGTATAAGCAGTACGTGCCCCCCTTGTGGATAATGCTAAAAATCCGAATTTATACCATTTTTGAGAATTAAATTTTTAGGTAAGTTCTTTTGTCTCTTAGAAGGAAATATATTTCAGAAAAAAAATTTTTATAGTAAAAAAAAAAGCTTTTCTAAAAAAAAATTTGAATTTTTTATTTATAAAAAAAAAAGAACAGCACTTTTAACACCAATATTAGCTTATGCTCATAAAGAAGTATGTATGATTAGATTTTAATCGAGTAGGGGAGAGTGGGGTCAATTGTAACAGGGTACGATTGTAACAGAGCAAAAATTTCGAGTGTCGGGTTCTAGATTTGGTTCCTAGGTGGTGCACAAGGTGTATTTAACAAATCTACATGTACACCCCTGATGGCAACCATTTTTATGTACTTTTGAAAGAGTTACATCACAAAAGATATTTTCACGTCACGCAAGTACTTTTTTTGGTATTAGAATATTTTATTGTAACAAAGTAATTTTGTTTAAACAAATAAAAATTAGTAACCGAATATGTAAGTGGACACCTTAATTAACATTTCAATAAAAAAAAGATTAGTTTTGCTAATTAACTAGCATTGTTTTTAACAAATGAAGCTGAAATGGCGTCTTGGGGACAATTGTAACAATAAGTAAAGGGACGATTGTAACAGCTGAAAATAAATAATCTTATGTTTACAAACCATTACTTAACTCTTTAAGAACCACCAATAGTTTCCTATATCATTTATATTATGTTGCATGTGCATTATTTTATTTGTCACCTTTCACAGCATAAATTAAAATTTTTAACCCCTTAAAGTTAAAAGTTTAACCCTTTAGGTCTCTGCTCATTATTATTTTTACTCCTAAAATATCACTACTATTTTGATCAATAAAAAAATATATCACAACTATGATAATATGTATAATTAACTATGTTTTAGTTGAATTTATGAACTGTTACAATTGACCCCGTAAGTGGGGACAATTGTAACAAGTGCACGACTGTCAAAAATTGTTAATAACTAATATAATAATATTTAAAATAAGGTATTTATTTTTTTTCTAGTAGAGGATAGTCTACTTTACTCGTCTGTCAATTAATACTAATAA